CTAATTAGCATAATTCCATCTCCTGCTCAAAGGAATGGGTTCAGGGATGGGCATGTGACCCACTGTGGTCTCTGACCTGTGAGGAGGGACTCAATTTCCCAAGAATATTTTCAGAGTCTCCTTCTTTTTCCCTTTGTGAATTATCCTTTGTAGATGTGAAGGCTGGAGTTGCTGCAGCCATCTTATTGCCACGAGGGAAGTTTGCCTAAGAATAAAGATGATACAGGGGGACTCAATGAAAAGGACTGCTAAACGCAGGATCTAGATTGCAGACTGAACTGTGCCTGATCACCTGCCTACCTCAGACTATTTGTAGTGACTTAAGTCAACAGGTATCTTTGTCATTTAAACTTGTTTGAGCTGAGCTTTCTGCTGCTTGCAGCGGAAAACATTTCAATGGACACAACTGAGTCAAACAAAGTTGGTTAGGTTACTTAAGAAGGGCCCATCAGAAACTTTAATATGTTAATAAACATTGTTGTACCATTTCCCACATTTATTTGGCTGTGCAGTTCATTCTTTCACTGTATCTCACAGCACAAGACCTAGTGTGACTCCTAAATTTTACAAAAGTATGAAGTAAGACCTAAGAGATTTAAATGACTTTTCTAAGTTATTACCATTGACTCTTCAGCAACTCAAGTTTGAACTGTGTGGATTTCTGTTTAGTTCAAAATGACACTATTTAAGAGTTGACTGTATTGGTAGGTAGTTACAGAGAGGATAGGCTTCCTGGCTCCTAGGCCTGCATTCTCCCTTGAAAATCATACCTCCTTTCTACCCAAAGAGGTTAAGAGGTTCCCTCATTGAAGATAAATCTCAAAAGAAGAAGATAATTATTCTTTTGCAGAGATTTCAGATTCCAACATAAAAACTTTATGTAAAATAAAATAGGTCTGAATTATTTGAAAAAAATCAATCAGTTACATGGTAAAACTCAGGTTATCTCAAATAAAATTATTAATTCTAGCTTCCCCAACGAAACTCAGGCAATCCAGCAACATCAGGCTTATACAGGATAGGGCAAAAGTAGGCTTATAGTGGTCCATATGGAAAATAACACAATAATTAAGAATTAATAATTCAAGATAAACTCTGTGTTCTGTATTCTCACAACTTTAAACCTACTTTTGCTCCACTCTGTATTTCCATATAGTAACCAGCTAGAGCTGAGTGGCCATCTTTTCCTCCTGAGATGAATGTGTGGGCACCTCTTGTTTGCCACAGTCCCCGTCATTCTCAATTGTACCCTAACGCTGATGCTAAGTGTCAGTTGTCATTTATAACTACACAAAAAATATTGCTTTCCTCCTTGTACCCAGTGTATTTCATTCAATTACCTTGTTGGCCCACTAATCAATTATTTTGCTATCCTGGAAAAAGTAATAAATATTAAAAAAATATTTCCAAGGTTCAGTATTCTTGCAACAACTACATTACAACATTGAGACACACAATAACTCTCTTTTCTTCCCTTACTGACCAAGACCATGACCTTTTCCAAACAACTAAGTGAGTCAATGATGAACAAGTTTCTTTACTGTGCACCTTTTCTTAGTCCTTCATGGGCCAGGGGGTTAGGAGGGCCAGCATACTATATTATTTTTGGGAGGGGGGCATGAAAGTCATTTTTTCTCAGAGACCATGTCTTTGTCCCTATTATTATAATAACTAAATATACCTTGGGAAATACAATAACCATCAACGTCCCTCCTTGTCAGTGAGCCATGGACTAATGTCCCTTTTTTTCTGGGATTATTCTCTGCTATTCCCTGGAAGTTGTTTTGAGAACAGAGCTATAAGAGCCTGGTCTCCATCAGACTGGAGCACCCAGCACAGGCCAGTCTGTGGTCTGATCTACACTGACATTATCCCAAAGAACAGCTCCATTATTCTGGGATGCTTAGGACAGAGGATTTCTGGCAGAGCTGGGAGAACAGAACCAGCCTAATTGAGGTCCACAGGCATTCCTCCCCAAGAAGCCAGCTTCCTGGCTCCCTATCTTCTCTGAAAACAACAACAAAGGGGAAAGGTGAAAAACAAAGCGATGAGTGGATTGGTGACAGGTGAAACCTGAGCTTTCTTCTTTCTTCAAAGTCAGTCTATTCACAGAAAGGCATCAGACCCCAATAGTCATCTTTCTTTCTTTACAATTCCTATTCACAGGCGAGGAATGACTAAATCTCAACTCTAGGTTGTGCCAACAACATTCAAAGCAATTGGGTCTAGCTGAGAAAACAACAAAAACCCAAACCAAAAGCATTGAGATTAATATTTCTTTTAGACATAGGTACGGCTGGAAGCTCATCTGAAGCTGAGGGAGAAAGTGGAACTTCTCTTGGGGGTGTCCTAGGGACGAATGAGTCACCTATGTTACATGTCTCCTTAGAAACTTCCCTGGTGACAACTTTCCAAGTGAGGTTGGGCTCAGAGACCCTCCCATCAGCAGGTCCAAGTCGAGGAAGAGGACCCCTCCTTAGAAGGAAGCAGACCTTACATACACGTATGGCTGCCACGCCCACCTTGAAGCAAGAATGGTCAGAGTGACTGTGGAACTTCTGCTGAGTTCAGGTTGATAAAGCCAGAGGGAAAGCATCAGACAGATAGTGCTCCTTGAGTGAGACATGTTCCTTATTTGCCAACAAGTCAAGTCCTCACCTGCCGGTGAGTCAATCACCTAAGGCGTCTACCTGCTAGCCCAGCATGCACTCGGTCCGGCAGCCTCTGCAAGCCCAGGCTCAGCTGCCTTGCTTCTTCCAGGCTACGTTACAAAGTTGAGTCACACAATACCTCTATTTTCTTCCCCCTACTGACCAAGATCACGTCCTTTTCCAAACAACCGAATTTGGTCAATTGCTCGATAGAACCTCTAAAAAACAATGACATGCATGAAATAACAACGTGGCAAGACAGGTGGTGTGCAGTTTTTGCTTTGGTTGGGGCACTATTCGAGAGAAAGCTTAAGGACAGGCTTAATGATGGAGCTAATACGAGTGTTACATTCCAAAAATAAAGCAGTCACAGCTTACGTAATGAGCATTTATTGTATGTCGGGCATAGCGCTAAGCACTTCCTAAGGATTATCTTGTGTAATTATTGGGACCACCCCGGAAGTGTTTCGATTCTATGAATGCAGAAATGAGGCTCAGAGATATTAGGTCAGGTGCCTAAGGTCACATTGTTACCTAGCGGTAGAGACAGCGTTCAACTCAGGCAGTGTGTCTCTGATGCTGCTTCTCCTAATACAACACTCAACTGCTCTCCAAACAGCCATGCCTCTTGCTCCAAAGGGGCTCTGAACTCTAATGTGCTCATGGCCACACAGGACTAAGAATACACGAGAACTGATGCAAAATTCTTAGAGACTGAACACATTTGATACAGCAAAGTAAATGTCATATAATAAAGGCCAAATTTTAATAAACAACTGAACTGAGTCAAGCCTCTATTTAAATTTTTGCTTCCTGGTTGTTGTTTTTTGTTTTGTTTTTGTTTTAGACCATAATCTTCACTGTGAAGAACTGAGCAGCTTCACTGAGATAAAATGATGTTAGCTCCCTATTCCACCCCTTCTCTAAAAGTAGCCATAGGGGCAGCAGCCACAGACAGAACAGTGCTGGGCCCATGAAACATCCCCCAAGGATTTTTGCTTCCCAAGGATTTTTGCTTTACCTGCTATAGATGAGGCATTCTCCATTGTTGATCACTTTATCGGATTTGTATCTCCGGAAGTCTTCCCAAGCATCCTTGACGGCAGTGACCCCCAGGATGATACAGATGGGTATCAGGTTCACTTCAGGCTGGAAAGCATTGACCACGGGGACGAAATTCAGAACAGCAATGCCCACGAAGTAGATATTGGCAAACCGGTGCAGCTGCTCAAAGATGTTCTTGGGCACGAAGGACAGCACAGTGTACTTGCTGGTCTTAATTTGGTTCCCACAGTAATGTCTGTTGGGGTTCTCTTTGTGGGCACATCCTTCGAAGGGCAGGTTGGAGACCACCACTCGTTTCTTGTCTTCTTTCCTTTTCCGCCTTCCCTTCCCTTCCTTTCTCATCTCTGCTCAATGCTGTCCGTTTGATTCTTATAGGATGGCATGCGAGTTCCACAGGAAGGAGGTTTCCCCCTGATCAGTTTCATTGTTCAGCAACCAGGCAGTCACGTCCCTGACATCTTTCACCTCCCTTCTCTGCTGAAAATTTCTCTCTTCTTTTACAAGGCATATTAAAAACAAGAAGCTGGTCCACAAACACCCGGGGAGAGATCTGACAAGGAAAGAGCTTGCAAAGAGCAGGTGTCCACCTGCCAGGCCACTTCCTCCTACTTGTCGTGACTCCACCTGTTGGAATGTAGACGTCACCCACAGGTATCTTTCGTTTCCAGCCCGGGCAGTCAAGAACAGGTGTGCCTACTCTGGGTCCTAAAACCGATCTGGTTAAGTTCTATAGGCAAGGATTTTTAACCAAGAAGCTCAGATGCTTAAAAAGTGGCATTCATTTTCTTGCTTGGGAGAAATTGCCTGTCACCCTCTTAAGATCTACTCCTCAATTTGGTCTTCTGAGATGATCCAATCAATACTAGAGTTTGATTTTTGAGCTCTTAGACTATTCCTGATAATATAACCGTTATGTTTAAGTATATGAGAGTTTATACACATGAAATGAAGGTTTCTAAGTCTCAGCACTTTTGACACTTGGGTTGGATAATAATTGTTTGCTGTGTGGGCTGTCCCATATACTGTAAGATGTTTAGCATTATCCTTTAGTAAGACCAACTAGATATTGTAGATACCAGTAGCACCTCCTCTCCAAAATAGCAACCACAAAATGTCTCCAGACATTGTTAAATGTCCCCATGCAGGGAAACCTGCCCTGGTTGAGAATCACTGAATTAAGTGAATGCAAGAAAATATATGAGAAGAGAGACCCACCTTTTGAAAGTGCTGATGAGTCTGTATGACCTATTTATAAGAGAGACAACAGGAGAATGATCCTCTTACCTTTCATAGATCTGGATGTGGGAGCAGTTTATTGCTCTATCAAAGCAGTACCGCTTGAAGTCCTCCATGCCATCCTTGACCATGATGATGAACAGCACGGTGACCAATGGTAACATGGTGATTTCCCTGTGGAAAACTTCCATGGTGGGTATCCAGTTCAGAATCACCAGGAACAGGAAATAGAGGTTGGCCCACCTGGAGGGGGCAAGCAAGGTTTGAGTGAACATCATGGAGAAGAAAAACATACTCTCCACACTATTTCTACTCTGGGCCTTTAACCAACTAAAATGAAGTTCTTTTTCAGTGTCACCTCGAACATTATGGTAAGGGCTATCTAGATTCAAACTGGGTTCCTATTGTTTACTCATTGTGTGACTTCCTGAGCCTGTTTTGTCTTGTGTAAAATAGGGATAGTACTGCCTATTTTAAAGGGCTCTTATAGATATTACACAAGCTAATATTTATGTACACAATAGAGGGTTTTGGAGCATGGCAGTTGCTCAATAAATGGTAGTTTATAACAATAATTACAAAAGTTAGGATGATATCGAAGTGCACATTTTGATTTACAATGAAAAGATGATATTGCATATGTCATCTCTGAAGAGTGGGTTGCACTTTTAAATTTTCAAGTGCATCTTGCTCCCCCCCTTGCCACAGTGCCTTTGTACATGAAGATCCGTCTGCAGGAACAGTCTCCTGGCTCCCTTCTCTGACTCTTCTCTGCCTCTTTTCACCTAGTTAACACATTCTCTTCTTTCAGGTTATATGTCAATGATCAGTTCTTCCTGGAAGTCTTCCTGGAATTTCTTAATGAGGCCAGATTTCCCTCTTCCTCTAACAGCACCATATGTCTCTCCTTGGGGAATATCTGAGTTATAATTTTACATCCGTTTATATAATTAGTAAAATTAATGTTTCTTTCACTGGACAATATACTCAGGGCAGCCTCTTTTTTGTTCCTCATGTATTTCTAAAACTCAACAGATGGCCTAATACAGAGTAGAATCTGTACAGAATCTCTGAGCAGAATCTGCATAAATATTTATTGAATGAATGAATGACAAGACTTCCAATGTACATGCATTTGGATTTTAAAGGAAAGGTGGCCCCTAGTGTGCATCACTGAGGTCCTCTGAGCAGCAGGCTTATACTTCAAGTGAGTATTGCTTGGCCAAGTGTACCTGTGAAACTGCTCCATGAGATTCTGGGGCAGGAAGGTGAGGAGGGTATACTTCGTTGTGCAGATTCTGTTGCCCGAGTATCTCTTGGAGACCTCTGCCCAATCTTGGTGGAATATGTCATTGTTGGGGAACACAATCCGTTGCCGCGTCAGGTTGTAGCTCTGCCTCTCCTTCTCTGGGGACAGCAGTGGTGTGGCTTCTGATGGGGACTGGAAGAGGACATCTCTGATACGCCACTGCCACCGGTGCCAAGATGAGTCCACTGACAGGGCCATTTCTGGCAGCAAGCTACGTGCTGAAAACAGACACATGAGGTCGCCATGGTCAGAAGAAATATGTGGTATAGTGGCTCATATCCACCCTCTGTCCACCCATCCATCCAAGGAAGGTATTGGGATACAATGTGAGAAAACTAGATTCAATCCCCATAATTCATTTTTGTTCTAGGCTGAGAGACATTGAGCAAATTATATATATAAAAGCCTAAGTGATCATATAACTGTTCAACCATTTGACTGGTCACTATTATGTGCACCGACCATCAGGGGGCAGATGCTCAACACACAGGATAGGGCTCCCTCCTATCTGGATCAGGCCTACAGAGATTAGGCTGAAACTGTCTCTCTGACATCCCCAAGTGGTCCCAATTGTGCGTTGGTGCAGGCCAGGCTAAGGGACCCCACCGGTGCACGAATCCATGCACTGGGCCTCTAGTCATATAAATAATACACAACTAACACTGTGATAAGTGCCATGAGAGCATTTAAGGGGAAGGGATTCTGATCACCTAGTTGCAGTTTCTCAGTAAAAGTATGGCCTAATGGTCTATGACCCCAGATATCAGAACTCCAGGTCTGGTTCATTGCTAACCCTGAACTGTCCCTTCACCTGGCTGGTCTTCAGTTTCCTCACCATAATGTGAGGAAAACTATTCTTAGTCGACTTTTCTCACAAGCTTTTAGTGAGGAACAAATTGAATAGTACATAAAAGTACATTGAGACATGTCTTGAAGGGAAAGGTATCTATTCTTTAGGTTTTCTCTAGCTCTAAATTTTTCTGACACCAATGATATTTTGAAGAACCCCAGTTGTGGCCAGAATCTCAAAGGACAGTGACAGGTGGTACAGAAGAGAAAGATTCTTTCCCAGGACATTCTAGGATGTGCTAATATGGTGTCCCAGGAACACCAGTTGGCTTTTTCAGAACTTATTGATCAGGGCTGGAGGGTGGGAGATCCCTTCCTTCCTCTTCACTCTACTTGGTGGTTTCAGAAACTGAGTGCTTGTCAAGTAGCCAGTCTCCCTAGACAGTGGACGAATACTGCTTGATCTGGGATATTTCTATTTCTGAGGTCTTTAAGTGAAACCTATGGGAAATTTGACAAGGTTCCTTTTAGCCAAATCTTGCTCAAAGACCCAGAAGGATGTTATGCAAAGATATCCTTGGTAAAGTTAAAAATTGTATATAATGGTGCTTCGCACAGGATAATTTTCTTTTGAATAAATGGCTGAGTGTTATTAATCTTATAAGGAGTTACCCCAGCTGTCACTGTAAATAATATTCACCTAAGGAGAAAAAAGATCCCATTGCTCGTTTAAATGGTAATATTTTCCCTTCCTGTTGCCCATGTGATCTGACCCTTATCATAATTCTCCTCATGACTTTAATCAATCCAAATGATTTTCAACCCACAAACCCCACGGCTACAAGAAGCTCTTCAGAGTCTTAAGTGAGTCCTTTGTAGCAAGCATGAAAAAATAAATGCAATTACTGATGCCCATCATGATGTGACCAGAAGCCATATTATGACATTTGACAAGCCAGAAATAATACTGTGTATCTTCTTTCAAATTATGAAAAATATGCCTCTTTTTATGGATTCTTTTTTTATTGTAAAAAAAAAAAAAGGAAAAGATAATTCAAGAATAGAGTGGAAAATGCAAATGAGAAATACTGCCTTGGCTAGTGCCATGCAGATGAGTCTTCTCACAACTTAAGGTGATAAGATCTTCATAAATGAAGAGATTGGTTTGACATGGGAGATGCAGATATTTTAGGTGGGGTGATTAAAAGAGCCCATTTATCATCATTCTATTCTTTATTTTTCTTTATTAACACTGAAAATCCTCAAATTGGGAGCTAATCTACAAAACAACTAGCTTACATTTTTCAAATTCAAAGGTCAAAGAAGGGCAGAGGGACTGTGTCTGACTTAAAAAGACTAAAAAGAGTTAACTAAATGTAATGTTTGATGCTGGATAGGATCCTGAACTTGTGGGAGATTAAAAAAAAAAAGGTATAATGACACTGTTGGGCAATGGGCAAGATTTGAATATAAATGCAAATCAGGGAAAGTTCACAGGAGTGTCCAATGGAGTACGCAGAAGTGAGCGGCCAAGAGTGGCGAAGGTTGAGGCTGGAGAGAGAGATGAGGGCCAGCTGGCCTGAGAACCATGCTTCCTGCAGAGTTTTAGGCAGGGAAGTGACATGATTAGTGCCCTCCTGGCACAAGTACTTGAGAATGGGCTGCAGGGGTCAAGACCAGCCACCGGGAGGCAGCTTCTTAATCTATCCTCCTACCTTCCTCCAAATAAACACTTCTTTCCAAAAGCAGAACAGAAGACAAAGGGGGATTGTGTAATCCTCTTATTGGATAAACCTATTACTTTCAGAGAGGGAGGAGCATGCGGAAGCAATACTTGCTGAATAGCTGTTGAGTTATCAAATAGCAGATGAATTATCAAATGGGTTTACAACCATGGCCTGGAACTATAGCAGGCCTTGCAGAGAGCCATATACACAGAACCAGCTTGTTTGAAAATGACCCCAAACCTCTTGTAGAAACATCTTTGTCGTCTTTGTCAAAAACAAAGTAAGTATGGCCACCACTTATCTGGTCCACCCTGTGTGCCAGGCGCTGTTGAGTGGATGCTCTCTAAAACTGAGATTTTATCGTTACCATTTCACAATGAAGAGACCCAGCCCCGGAGGTTAAGTGACCGCCTGAAGACCAAATGTACCCTAAAGGGACCAGTTAGGAGTTAAGTGCAGGTCTCTCAGGCTCCAAAGTTAATGGCGAGGTTGGAATTTTCCCCTTTTGCAACAGCAACAAAGGGCACTAAAGAAGTTGCCTGTCTCCTTGAGAAAAGTTCTGCAATGCCCTGTAACTTCTCCCAAGGCACTGGCGAGCTGATGGCTACTCTGAATATACTTGAGCTGGAACTACTAACCTAATTGTTTTTGAATGGCAAATTTAGTTGACTTAATGTAAGCCCTTATTTCCCACAGGAGTGATGTTATGAATAGATATTACCCTGTGGAAACCTCATGTACATAAAAATACTAACACTATTCATGAAATCATATGAAGGGAAAAAGAACCTCGCAAAGGCGTGCTTTTGCAAACACAAATACTGAATGGGAAGGCTACATTATAATTTTTATTCTGTTCTTTTTTTTTTCTTCTTTCTTTCTTTCTTTTTTTTTTTTTTTTGAAGAGGCTTTAAAAAACTCTGAGTGCAATGAAGTTTGAAATGAAAATGTTGGCTTTCTTTCCTGGCAAATCTCTCTCTAACAAGCCTCTTAAGCCCTCTTCTTTGCTCCAGGGATCTTTAAACTAAATTAAAATTAAAGTGAACTCACTTAGAAACTTTCCTTAGGAGCTGAGATGTCTGAAATGACTTCTTTCCAAAAGCAGAACAGAAGACAAGCTGTATTTGACTATGGAACCTGGGTTCTTGTTTTGTGAATACTCTGCAGATACCAGCCTTGTACCCCAATAGTTCCAGCTCAGCTCCTTGCTGCTTTTCTGCATGGGTGGTTTCCTCCGAGTTTATAGCCCTTATTCAGCTGAAAACTCCTTCTTTAATGTGTCACCATGTTGGTTAGCTTTTCAAAGAGAGATGTTCCTTTGGTCAAAATTGTAGCTCTGATGGACAAGCATATGATATGCATGTTTGCTCAAGGAAGCCATGTGATCAAAAGTCATTCTACCTCTTGACTAGGCACACTGCCTTGTGTTATATGGGTGGTGTCAGCTCACTCATCTGACAACTGGGCGACGCTGGTTGCAGTAAGTAGGCCAGTGTTAGTACAGGCCATGAGTGCCGAGGAGTGTGTGAGGGAATGTGTGGCAGTATGGGTGCGAATGTTATGACTGCAAGAGTATGAAGGTGAGAAGGTGCAGGCAGGCCTTCCTACGCTGGGGACAGTGTACACTCACGCTCTTTCAGGAAGCAGGACACCTAGGACAGGGCTGCTCTGTCCTGATGGAATGCTCATGTCTCCTGAGCTGTGAGGATTCAGAGGTCATTAGGGTGAGACTGACCTGCTGAACAATATTCATTCTATCAAAGGGGAAAAGCTAAGTTTATAAAAAGGGTTTGCTGCCTGGGTCTCACACTGACAGGATTGGCTAGCTAGCTTAATTTGCAAGGTTTAGGGAATGAGGAGGGTCTATGGGTGAGGAATACTTAAATGGAGACCTGAAGATGCCAGGGTGCTTAACTTATCCTGTGCAGAAGATAGAGAAATGCCACGGGAAGAAGGGGTCCAGGGAGATGGAAACATTGCTAGTCTGAGCAATTAAAACAGCCATAAACCAAGGACAGACAGACAGACAGGCCGGTATTTCTGGCATGAGCAATTAAAACAGCTATAAACCAAGAACAGAGATATTTTTGGTCTGAGCAGTTGGGAGATCTAAGCCAAGTCCAACCAGTAAGATAAGGGGGAGAGAAACAGAAACAGGGGGACACCACGTGGGCTTTGAGCTTTGAAAACTAATTCTATGTAGCAGAATGACCAATGAGGAAAACATAGGGGTCCCAAATTAAGGAAAGGGACCAATAAGAAAAGGTCAGATTCAAACAAAGAACCACAGCTGATATAAACTGGAGACCAAGGGACACGAGGTGGGGACCTTTTGATTTTCCCATTAGAGAGAGAGAGCAGGTTTTCCCCAGGGGGTCCCATTTGGAGACACTCCTGTCCAGATGGAGTTTGTATCTGCTTTCAATAAACACCTACATTTTTTATTAAAGAAGGCTTTTTGTCAGTGAGTTTATTCTTCAAACTTTGTGAGGACAAGAATCCATGGGAAGAAAAATCGGCACCCGAACCCCACATTTCAACACCATGAAGGAAGGAGCATGGAATGGGGTGGGGTTCTGAATAGGCTGCTTCAGTACAACTCAAAATGTCTGACGACACTTCTGGAAGTTAAACTTTTTAACACTGTCCATTTAGGCCAGTTGTTATTATCTTTAGATTCACTGATGAGAGGTTAATGCGAG